TCCACAGAAAGATTATGTAAGGAGCCATCCAACAAGACAAATTCATCTCCGTTAACAGATCTGACACTAGAAATATATCACAAACTGTGGAGAGAATTTGGTTTCCAAGTGTGGCATTCATAGCAAGTGACTTTGTTATTTAACCATTGGGGATGAAATAAACCGAGGTCGGAGATGTATGATCTGTCTCCATTCAACACGTACACTTAATCAAAGTTCCCTCGTTATTTCGATGCACCAGTGTGGTCACAGGATGCCACACTTCTCTAATTGGGCAATTTAACCAGAGCTACCAGAGTAAGTCAAAAAGTTTGATCTGAGTGCTTTTCAGGACGGCCCCAAAGGCTTTCTTCCAAAAAGCCTGAAAATTAAACCAGATAAATATTTAACAGAGCTTTAGTCCTGTTGGTCAAGCTAGTCTGTACTGAAGAGCCTTGAAGCGCTGTTTCGTCCTCACTGGAAACCATCATCAGAGCATATCCTACTAACCGGCAACCTCCAAGCTAGTAGTTTAGACGCTAAATCGGTCGGCCACGAGTGGCTGATCGGCATGGTGTTTAGCTCACACTTAAATAGGAATCAATTAGACCGAGGAAATCGATCACGTGGTCATTGATTGGTTCTTAGAATGATGACTCCTCACAAGGAGATTCCACTCATGGCTTGAAATTGTTCTTTCTCTGAGCTACTTATCGATTGATGATGGGGTGAGAGCTGACCACACTGCTGTTCAGCCGCCAGTATCCCCACCACCGGCTGGAGGGTCAAGGGTTGGAACGGTTTAGGGTTTCTTGAAGACGCACTTCTGATGATTGTCGACAAGGATGAAGCAGCTGTGCAGAGCTTATCGGCTTTTTCTCACAGGACGACATCTCCCCACATCATCATCAGAATGGGGTTCCAGAGTAAACTAAGCTGTCTAACCAGTGGATTGTTCATCTAATTATTAACAATTACACCACGGCCGTTTCGTTTATGGTTATCAAGATAGAGAATCAAAAGCCTCCCAGCTATCCAGGAGAGAGTGTAAAGTAAAGGCGATGAAAAATAATGAGTAGTAATAACAATAATGACAGGGAGCTTTGTCGCCCTAAATAAACGTCATTTTGTGAGGATTTCCAGGGCTGAAATGTGTGTAAGGAACGGTTGTATCACTGTCAACGAAAGAAGATTCACATATCGGGTGCGATTCAAACTTGCAGATATACCAGCCGTGCTAATTTGATATAGCCTTTGGATCAGCGTTGATTCGGCATTTATCTCTCAGATGGACGCTTGGCCTTAGGCCACGAATAAGATAAAAATGCCGATTTATTCAATCGATTGAAATCCCACAGATTGCAGTGATTGAATTTCTTTCAGTCTCATGGATCATCTTGAACCTGTACTAAAGCCGATTGTGTATTTGTCAGATTTATGGAAAAAAACAATGCACTTAGCGTTCACGATGATCCGATAAAAGAAGAGCAAACTTCGTTGTAGCTCACACAGCAGAGCTATGAATACCAGGTTGGGTTTCCCATATCAGGTTGTCTAGAATTAAGTATCCAGGGGTCCTTATTAGAAGACTCAAAATCCTTAGCCTCAGAGCATAGGGCGATTCTCCCATTCCTGTCCGCTAAATCCCCTTTACAGTCGTTTTTTCACGGAATCTTTTATTATTGACGGTCGATTTGTTTACGAAATTCCATTGAAGTTAAAAGCCACTTGTGTCTAATCTGCGTATTCATTTTTATCTCGATTGCTGTGCTCAACAGACCGTCTAATATGGGGTATTAAATTTCACTCAGGAGCACTTATAGTTAGGAACAGTGAGGAAGTCAATTTTCGAAAATTGAACTAATATTTACCATGGATCCTTCACTTTCTGAATCATAGTTAATGTGTGTTAGTTAGCTTTTCTGTTTGTACGTGTAGATGTGTCGAGAGAGTTGATTCACTCGACCTGGTGTTCAAAATCGGTCTCCCCCACGCCACGCATTGACAACCGAACTACATCACGTTCGTGCTTAGCTATTCATCTGACACGCAAACAACACATGAATCATTCGGCCGATTTCATCCCGTAGCCAGTTAAACTTGCTCGTTCGAAGGTATTCCATAAATTTTGCATAAGCTGATTTGAATTAGTCAGTGTACTATGAACACAATGGATGTATATTACTGCATTCTTCTTGAATAGTGTTCGATGAATACACACCAGAACAGTCATTCTAAGCTCTAGACGCTTAGGGAAATGATTTGAAAGGGCAGAACATGTACGGACTGATTAGCATTGATGCCAAGTTGTATCTGTTCTTCATAATTTTAAACCGACAACCTGATACCTCTGATCTCTAATTAAAATTTGCCAAACAGAACGCTTGATATGTGCCCAGTTACCCCCATGCCAGATGCCAACCTCTGTTATTGGAGCCTAATTAGGAAAAAAGAATCGACTGATCAATCAACGGATAGACATATGTATATATATATATATATGACGATAGATAGATAGATAAATAGATAGATAGATAGATAGATAGATAGATAGATAGATAGATAGATAGATAGATAGATAGATAGATAGATAGATAGATAGATAGATAGATAGATAGATAGATAGATAGATAGATAGATAGATAGATAGATAGATAGATAGATAGATAGATAGATAGATAGATAGATAGATAGATAGATAGATAGATAGATAGATAGATAGATAGATAGATAGATAGATAGATAGATAGATAGATAGATAGATAGATAGATAGATGGATACATAGAAAGTGAAATCATAAATAATGTAGATTTCCGAAAACTTTGCAGATCATTTCATCTGAATTCAGTATTTTTACGCCACTTTTCAAGAGAGCTTCCCAGAAGCACCTTCAATGATCATCAAGTCTATGAATAAATCTTGGGATATTTTGATACCTTATATGTTCCTCATCGCCTCAAAAGTACTTACTGTGAGTGAGCCTGATAAACATCAATCGCCCCACATTTTTACTCATTTTGTCCTTCTTAACCGCGAGGACTTTGGTATTCATATTGAAAGAAGAAAGGGTTGGAAGTAAGTGTAAATAGAATTCAGAATGACTGTAGTTACCACGTGTGGATAGGGCTCTCAGCAATAAATTTTACTCTCTCGAAAGTTTACTGTGTTCGAAAAAGTACTTATAAGGTTCTACGGGAGGTGTAGTGCTCTATACTTTGCGTGACGTCAGTCGAAGTGACGCTTTATGGTTTACCTGGTAATAAGTTTGTAGTAAGTCGTGGCAAAAGAACCCTCAAGGCTTTCATTTGTTCTTTAGTGATTTGGAGCCACTTTGGTATTTTGCCGAAGAAGTGATGTGAAGGGAAATTACTAGGATGCTTTCAGTCCGGGATTTATCGCTGTTTCCAGTGTACATGTATCTACTTTACATATGACAAACGTCTTGTCATCAAGATTTCGGTGGCCCTCACCTTCTGCTAGTCTGGTGCCGGAAGTGTGTGTTCGATTGTAGCTGCTCAGCAGAGTTGGTGGCTCTCACCTTCTGCTAGTCTGGTGCCGGGAGTGTGTTCGATTGTAGCTGCTCAGCAGAGTGCTACGTGAATCTCATAATAGCGCTATGGTACGATAAATTTTAACCAAACAGTGGAGGGTTTCGCATATCGCATTGAGATTACAGATGGATAGTACGAACGATTTCCTGCGCATATAGCAGCCCTGACAACCTGTGAAGCCGCATCCATGCTGGTTGCACTTTGGTGCGAAGTAAAAAGTGTAGTGCACACGAAGAAGTACCAAATCCAGCAGATCCGACTTTCTCACTAGGGTTCTGTGCTTCCCGACCGATGTCTGTCAGTCTGTATCTGATTGAAAATGGTTTAGATGCAGCATCTAACGAGATGTAGACGGCTCTGGGGACAGCGTTTATACTATGCTTTATTTATTAACCAACAAGCTTGTCCAAGGGTGCTCCAGATCGCATTTCGCGGGCAACAGCAACTAGGGGCATCCTTGGGGTCTACCCACTCCTCTCGCAAAGGAAGTCGAAACAAACGGATGAACATGTTAAAACCGATATTGGTGGTGACTGCTTTCACCGCAACAATTGCATGCTAAATGCTCAGACAAGAACGCGGTAGGAAAAAGGTTGGGTAACAATAGACAGCTTGCGCTCAAGGATGATAACACATGGAAATGAAACCGCCGTGGAGTTTCACTATTTCCTGTTGAAATTATTAGTTTTGGGTTTCTACGTGTTTCAGCAAACTTCGCTTCATGGTTGCAAAAAGCCTAATGGTTTTGGGCCTGGAGCTGAATAACCCATGTATATTTCCAAAGTCTCATTTCATACCATAGGTAGAAAGTTAAGGTGGGCATGTCTTCCAGGTGAAAGTCCCATTTAGGATAGTTTTCAATGTGCACTCTATTAACAGCAGGATTTCTTCAGGCAGAAGGAAATTGATTGACTTTGGACATATCTTTTCCTTGTTCACTCATTTTTCTGTCACAAGCCAACGGCACACATCAAGGCACCTTAGGTCAACATAGACCGATCAGCATGGGGATCAAGTGGTTAGAGCGCGAATTTACTGACTGGAAGATCCGTGGTTCGAACCCGACTTCTGCCTCTCGACTTCCCCTGTCTAGGCTCGGGCAACCTGGCAGTATCCCAGCCCTCGTGCTTCCTTCGGGTAGCATGGCAGCTAGGCACCGGAAGAGTGTTGCAGCTGAACGAATTTTTATGGCCTCATTAGACTCCAGGGGTTTCAGGTTAAGATTTCTGAGTAAAGCCACGCTGGATGTTCCCATGGGGCACGTGGAGACCGGAAGCCTGGTGGTAGAATGAAGCTCCTGCATGGTTAATTTCAGCAACTATCTGTTCTGCAAAATACTCGGCCTCAGTAATGCCTGGTGAGCTAAACGTATTACCTAAGTGCAACCAAAAGATTAATTAAATTTTGTACTTTACTAATGATATCAATGTGGGCAATGCATATATTCTAATGTTCTTCTTACGTTTTAGCAATGTGGCTGATTCGTATTCCCGTTGATTTTCGTCGCGGTTTCGCCGTATTCTATCTCAGCTATAGTCTGCTCAGTCTGCTTTCTACACATATACACGGGGTCACATTTGACGCTCACTTGCGTGAGAATGGTACTCAGAATTCCAGTGCACCCCTCCACCGGGAAGCCCGCAATGCAAAACCTGTGATTTACATCGGTAGGTTGTATCCCAAAAAGCTTACATATTGCTTTTGTTCACCAAAATACCACTGATTTTCGGAGGTTTGTTGATAGGCATCGAGTAGGACAAGCTGATTATATCAAATTGCTGCAACGGGGGAACATATAGCCACAACTGTTGTGTTTACCACAATAGGGATGAACCAGGGAACAGATAAAGTCGTGACGTCAAACAAACCAAAGCAGCGTGAAATACAATGATGATCCATCCACATAAAGCGAATGATCGAAGCGAGTTGCTAACAACCAATGAAGAACAGCATAGAGACAGATTCAGCTAAAACATCGATGCAAACTATTGGTACTTGTTGAGCTTACTAAAAAAAACAGCTGATTCCAAAATATTCCTCTCTATCTGGTGTGGACTCGCTCCCACGGGACCTGAGCACACAAGCAAAATTGAATAACAAAAAAAAAATAAAAAAAGTAACTGTGACGCAGAATCGATCTGACCATGTGAGTGTTGGCCTCTCGTGATCAGAAGCAGCAGTGAGTGGAGCAATTCTCCACTATAAAACACGTTAATCTAGATGAATACGTGAATATGTGAGGCAGCACTGGCCGCACAAACAAATCCATCTGCTTTTCAAAGTTGGCTTGTATATGAGCGTCGAGCGGCCTATGATTCCGGAAAAGAGTCTTACTGAGGCAACACTTGTCTCTTTAAGGGGAACACTGCCCTTCCCCTGTCCAGTAAGCACACTTGAAAGTTTATTCTCCAAGTGAGTCAAGAGAATGTAGTCTACATAACATCATTCTTGGGAATATTCCATTGAGTGGTTCATATGGTGGCCCCCAGCCCTGGTGACCCACCTGACAAAACTTATTGGTACGATATGGGACGAAGAGAAAGTGCCTGCAGAATGGAGCATGTCGACAGTTA